CTTGTCTCGATACAAACTCAGCAAGAAAGCACAGCTGAATTCCAAATATATTGATGAACTTGTGAAAGAAGCTGGTAGATTCAACCTCCCAAATTACTATGCTCTTCCTTATGTGGCTACAACTGTGGAAGGTTTTGAGGAGTTCCCCTCACGAATGGCTGTTTTGGACCAGATCATGAAGGCATTAAAAAGTCCAATTGTCAACATGATCGGAGTGGATGGGACTTCTGGTGTGGGGAAAACAATGCTGGTCAAAGAGGTTAAAAGAAAGGCCAAGTAGGACAGCTTGTTTTCTACAGTAGTTATGACTAAAGTGACGAAGAAGCGGGAGTTGAAAAGAATTCAAGACAAGGAATTTGATCCATGCCCAAGTCGAAGGCAATGTCTTCTTGAATTCTTTTCAACTTCCGGTTCTTTGTCACTTTAGTCATAACTACTATAGGAAACAAGCTGTCCTACTTGGCCTTTCTTTTAACCTCTTTGACCAGCATTGTTTTCCCCACACCAGAAGTCCCATGCACTCCGATCATGTTGACAATTGGACTTTTTAATGCCTCCATGATCTGGTCCAAAACGGCCATTCGTGAGGGGAACTCCTCAAAACCTTCCACAGTTGTAGCCACATAAGGAAGAGCATAGCAATTTGGGAGGTTGAATCTACCAGCTTCTTTCACAAGTTCATCAATATATTTGGAATTCAGTTGTGCTTTCTTGCTGAGTTTGTATCGAGACAAGGGATTGGGACACAGCCTACAGAAACACTCGTTGTTGGCATTTTGTTCACCAAACTCAAGTAATTTGTCCCCCACTTCGATGAAGTCCTCAGCCCTATTCAGCCAATTCTGGAGCTTCGGTCCGATTTCTTCTCCTTGTCTGCTGAGTTCTTCAATATGGCGCTTCACAGTATCTTGTTTAATCTTGAGCTTATCAACTTCTTTCTTCAAATTCTCAACATTTTTGTTGCACCTGTGCACAATAATGATTTTTTTTGAAAATTAGCTTTAAAAATGGACCACCCAGACATTTAACGGCATGGCAAATTATGTCGATTTTTTTTTTTAGTTTGACAAAAACTAATCAATGGAACAAAGGGCGAGATATTGTTGGGGTTTTTACGAAGAAAGTGGAGTGGAGAGCATGCTATTCAATATGTGAAGGAACGAATGGAACAATGAAAACTGATCAACGGAACAAAGGGCGAGATATTGTTGGGGTTTTTATGAAGAAGAGTGGAGTGGAGAGCATGCTGTTCAATATGTGAAGGAGCTGGCTGAAATTAAGTAGAGGGCTAAGGATCAGAGGCGCATGGGTGGATTCCTTCAAAGGCTGGTGGTTTGAACTTGAATGTGGATGGGGCCCTTGGACCGATTGGCAATGGGGGCGGTGGTTCGCAAACGAGAAGAAGCAAGTTAGGGCCTCAGGTAAGTCAGATTGCATGAGTCGGAGGTGGGGTTGATTTGAAGGACGTAGAGTTTTTAATTGTTTTGTAAATTATTTTGTAAAATAGTATTGGGGACAAGCCTACTATATGGGATATAAAAATCACTCTATCATGTTGAGTTATTAGTAAAAGATTTATTATGTAACTATTATAATTGTTATAAAAAAATTATTACAGTAACTATTTAAAATGTAGGTAAAAAAAGTTTTCCTAACTCTGTAAATTAGCTTAGAAAATGAGATTTAGCAATAATTATATGTGGCTACCATATAATAATTTAAACAACGTCATTCATTGTTTTGTAAAATATGATTTAGTAATACTAATAAATATTGCAAAAAATATATTTTCTTTACCCTATTGGACTGTTAGTAAAAGATTTATAAATCATAAATTATAATTATTATAAAAAAATAATTATAGCAACCATTTAAAATGTTGGTAAAAAGGATTTTTCCTAATTTTATAAATTAATTTAGAAAATAAGATTTAGCAACAAAAATATTTGGTTGTTATATAATAATTTAAACAACGTCATTCATTGTTTTGTAATATATGATTTAATAACAATATTAATAGTTACACTAAAAATATTTTATTACAAATCAACAATTATTATAAAAGGATAAATTTCTCAACAAATATTTTATTATATAATATCTTAGTTGTGAAAAGTCATTGAATATAATAATTTAGCATCAATCAATATATATAATTAAACTATTTTTAAAATTTAATATTAATTAAATAACTTCTAAAGCATAATTAATTGAATTTACATGAATAAAAAAATAAGATTATAAAACTAAAACACTTCATTAAATTAAAAATAATATTCGACAAGACATAAATCTAAACAAAATAAATCCTCCAAAAAAAAGTATTTACACTTAATATTTATTTCAAATTTGTAAAATTATTAACCCAACTATTGCCATTCTTTTTTTTATACTGTAATCGAATATTATTTAGTACTTCTTCTTCATATTTTTCTTTTTCTGTCAAAATTTCACTCTTTTCTTTCTAGAGAAATTACAATTTCTGTTCTAATTCTCTAATCTTCCTTTATTGATTCACAAGCTCATACAAAAGTAGGCATTTACTACCATTACCAACTCCATGGTTAGAGCTCAGCTGCAAAAGATGATCATATATATCTTTATTTGACATTTCAATTTTTTTTTTTTTTTGCATTTTCATCTAACAAACATTGTATGCATTCTTGCAATACATATATAATATGTTAGTTATTCTTTCTTTTTCCAAAAAAATAAAAAATAAAAAGTTGTAAGTAGATTTTTTTTTATCCACCAAATGCAAAGTGTACTTTATCTACTTAATAGAATTTAAATAGGTGAAATTATCTTATTTTCATCTATTAATCGCAATGTGTACCCTAATTACTTAATATGATTTAGATAAATGAAAGAAGTTATTAAAGGATAGTGAAAGCATACCTGTCTTCTTATACAAGAAAAGAAGAAGAGGAAGAAGAAGAAGAAATCATACTTGTCTTCCGTACTCTCTCTTGGAAAATATCTTTGCTAGGGAATGAAAGAACAAGTTTGGGAAAAGTTTATTTACTTCTTTTATGTATAAGAAAAAACCATACTTGTCTTCCGTACTTTCTCTTGAAAAATATCTTTGCTAAAAGAATGAAAGAACAGGTTTGGGAAAAGTTTATTTACTTCTTTTATGTATAAGAGATCCGAATAAGTTGGGATAGAGTAGTAGAAATCTATTGAATTTTTATTAATTGATTTTTTTTTTTGATATCCATATATTAAGTGATTTATTAAGGTATTTTAATTTTTTTTTATCAAAACAGATCTTTTTCCATTTATAATTATTAAAACAGATTTTTAAATATAAATTAAAATTTTAATTATTTTTAAAAATAAAAATTGATATGTATTAATCTCTAAAAAAATTAATTACAAAACTACACGTCTTATAATATAAAATTATGTATATAATCATATAAATATAAATTAATTACTCTTTTTTGATAAATACCA